AAAAAAAAAAAAAAAAAAGGAAAGAATAAAAAATGGGGGTAGAGACACTTATTTGGTACTTATTGTACATCAGGAGCTAAGCACTAACCTTTCATTCTCTTGTTCAATCTCCACAGCCACCTTATGAAGTGGGTGCTGTCATTGCCTCTATAAATAAAGCAAGGCTCGGAGCTTGTTGATGTTGAATTTATATGACAGGCAAATGTGGGGCTAACCAGTGGTCCCCTCTGTAAGAACCCTGCAGTCCCAATGGGTGCTCAGCCTGCCACCCACTTCTCAGCTGCAGGATCCCTCAGTCCACTTCTTCTAGAAAGCCTGAGTCAGAAAACCAGTGTCCACTTTGATTACTTGGATAGGAAGGATTCCTTCAAGCAGGAAGAAAAAGTAGCAATATCAAACATTAATGTTTAACTAAAATTTAAATTTTCTATTTCCCAGCTGTCAATGATTCAAGCCCACTGACAATTCCAGCATGTCAGAGACCCCAACAAGACCGACAAGAGCCTAGAATACAGGTGGTGGGGAGGGAGGGATGGAGGGATGAAGAGTGAGCTGGAGGTTGGCTTCTCGGATGGACTTCTGCATCAACAAAAGCCCAAAGAGAGGTGACCAGGGCTGGGGACTTAGCTCAGTGGTTCCGCTGCCTGCCTTGCAAGTGCAAAGGCCTGAGTTTGATCCCTGGTACAAAAGAAAAAAGAGAGAGAGGTGACCAAAGGCAGCCCACACATGTGCAAAGGCTCATCCTTGGCAATGTCCAAGATTGCAAAGATGGGATTCTAAAATGAGGGAAAAAAAGTGATAGGAAAGTCTTCAAAGTCCTTCCTCCCCAACAGGGGTCTCAGACATGTGACCTCAGTGTGCAGTTCTACCAGTGTGGACCAAAAGCTTCCAGAAAAATAACAGGGCTCTGTGACTAAAGCACATATGCACCTAGGTTACAGTTAGCTCTATAACTGTATGTCTTTAGGGGTATATTTTGGTACTCAAAGGCTGGTTAGAGGAAGTATTAAACTTCCATAAACCGTACAGTAGGTTAAAAAGAAAACCCATGTGGAACGCATCACTCATCAGGCAGCAGGCTTGCCAGCGATCCAGCAGAAAGCTGATGGCAACACGAACAGAGATGGGGGCTGCAGGGTGCAGAGAAGGGCAGGACGTGAGAAGGACTTGGGAGCAAAAACTGGCAGGACATGCTCTTGAGTTAGGCTAGGGGGCGAATAAAAGAAAAGGTCTCCCAGACTCTCCCAGGCTTGAGCTATTGACTGAGATGGGAAATGGGAAGAACCAGGGAGGGGAGGAATCAAGAAACGCACATGGGTCATGGGAGATGTGCAGAGATGGCAGGCAGGCAGGCAGGTATGAGTCAGGGCTCAGAGGAAGCAGCGGGGCTAAAGACACAAACGTGGAGTCACTCTCTCACAGGTGGTACCTGCGGCCACGGAAATGGATGGGAGCTGGCTGTAGAGCAATGGAAAGAGGATGCCACACTGGGCCCCCAGAAACCCCAATACCTGGCATCTGGGAGGAAGGAGATGCTGCTGTCAAGGAGACTGAGCAAGGAGGATGGCGAGGGTGACGTGAGGAGGTGGGGCCTTGGAAACTGAGAGATCTGAGTTTGGAAGTAGGTGCACAAGGCACTGTGAGAAGCCTGCTGTTGACAGAGGAGGACACACCAATATAAAAGGTATTTGCCTGGTCCTTCATCCAGTCATTCATTTATGCAAAAGTAAATTTGGGTGCCCCGAGAAGGCTTTAATTTGGATATCTGCTCGCCGTTCATTTGGAGGTGAAGCCTAGGGAGACTGGAGAGTGACAGCTTGTGACCACGATCTGTCTCTCCTCTCTGTTCCAGCCAAGGTCCCACCTCCCAAGTTCTGCTCAGCAGAGCACTGGTGCCATAGTAAAACCTCCCCACTGTCCTTTGAAGGGCGTTTGGTAACCCGCTCTGGCTGACCTAGCCTGCTTGCCTCTGGGGAGTCTCATCCTCCCAGTCTAATCAGTGACTATTTTTTTGGTACTGGGGGTTGGACTCAGGACCTTGCGCTTGTGAGGCAGGAGGCGGAACCGCTGAGCTAAATCCTAGGCCCTCATCCTGCCAATCTAAGGGCTTAGCAGAGCAACATGCTTTTCTTAAATTTCTAGCAGTGGTTTAGCATTTCCTACATGGCTATCCTGGTGACCAGGTCATCGGAAGACACAGAGGAAGTCAAAATTCTCACCATTCCACTCGCACGAATCTCCTACCCAAAACAGTAAGTAAACTTGCCAGAAAATTTCCCATCTTTTCCGAGAGCGAGATCCACCTCACAGGATTACACACGGCTCTCTCCTGACCCTCCTCCTACCACTAGAGCCGTTCCTGCTCCTTCTGAGTGTTTTCTTCCTCCACCAGCTCCCTAAATGCTGATGTCAGGCGGCTTCTCTCCGGGTGGCCTCGTTCAGGCCAAAGGATATAATCCCACTGCCACCCGTGCTGTGACGACAGCTCATCCCACCTCTCCAGCTCCTTCTTTCTGCCAAGCTCACAGGTAGCCTGGGACTCTCCAGATGCCCATACGCAGTTGAATCCGTGCACAATGCTCACGGAGCCCATCAGCTCGTCCACCCCCTGCCCCTGTGCGTCCCTCTCAAGTCTCTGTCTTGGTCAGTGACACCACCACCCACCAGTCTCCCAAGCCTCACCGTCTCCCCACACAATTTTCATCTAGTCAGTCCCCAAACCACATCCTCTGAATCAGGTGATCATTCCTCCTCACCAGCCTTGGCAAACACTAGTTTCACATCTGCTGCCCCATGAGACAATGAACAATAATTCTTCCTCTTCCTCCTCTTCCCCTTCCTCTTTCTCCTTTTCTTGTGCTGGGGATGGAATCCGGGCCCTCAAGCAGGCTAAGCACATGCTCTACCCCTGAGCTACACCCCCATGGCCCCAGGACCATGAGCTTCTTAAATATAACCATGTGAACTGATTTTTCCTATGGGTTGAATGCAATGCCTAGTACAGTTTTTAGCAAATAACACACAAGAAATATATTTTCTATTGCAACCAAATACCTGCACATACACTTATGTACTGAAGTGAAAATTCCACTCAATACTTATCCTTACTTTGCATGATGCCCTTTGATATTCGATTCTCTTTCAACTTTTTAAAAAAGCTAAGGTGTCCCAACAAACTAGTTTCTGAACACATGAACAGGCAGTGACCAGCAGTTTGGAAAACACCAGCTAACACATCATAACTTTTGACTAGCATGCTTACTTAATAAATGCATTCATGACCTCAGAAGATTTTTTAAAATCATCATCCCTATTTTACGGATGAGTTATCTGAATTTGAAAGAGAATTTCCTTGGTCCTACTTTAGACCTTATGGCTTTCCACCTCATCCTGTGGCCTTTAAGAACCCTTCCAGCCCAATATTTTGTGTTTCTTCTGCTGCCACTCACCAGTTCCTGTCAGAATTACTGTTTTGTTCCATCCCCATGGTACAAAGTATTCAGATCTCAGTTTCTTACCCAAAGTTCATTGTTAGAGGTCTAATGTATGCTAAGACTCTTTCTCCTCAGTCACAAAGACCCTCCTCCCATTCTAGTCAGGACTGCTCTCTGTTGCGCTCAAGAAGTCTACACTGCCCCGTCTCCTGCTGAGCTGTGGGTTTACTGCAGACGGAGCACTGCTTCTTTTCTTACGTTGGATCAAACCAGGCTGATAGCGGAAGCTCTTCTTTTGTTCCTTCTATGTTGACTTCTTCCTCTTGATAATTGTGGGTCCTAAGCACAAAGGGAAAGCAAGGCAGGTAAGGTGAGGAGGGTCATCTGCAGGTGCAGGCAGTGGGGAACCATCTCATGGAACATGTCCTGAGGCACAGGGGACTAGCATCAGAGCATGCGCTGGAGAAAGGCTCCCAGTGCTATGAGTTTATTGCTTAGGGCATACTTTGAATGGAAAGGACCCTACTCCCCTCTCACCGCCACCCAAGGCAGCAATTTAATGACCCAGTAACCCTCAGATCATTTGAGGGAGGCCTGTGCAAGCCGTCCTCCTAAGAACGTTTCAGTTCATGCTGTCACTCCTGTAATTTAAATTTCACCCTGAGCCTCAACCTTGTATCAACTGGAAAAAAACTCACCATAAACGTCCTCCTCCCACCCATAAGGGTTTTCTCATGTGATTTCAGTAAGCAAGAATGATGAGCACCGAGGTCATGAATGCAGAACCACTGTAACTGGATTCTCTGACAGCACAGACACACACACCCTCCCATCACCTACCCATCCTCAAACCAGCTCGGAAACCACCAGCCCTTCCGGCTGCTGTTGGTACCAACTTCAGGGTTTCTAGAAAATGAAAAAGAACATGAACATTTTTAGAAAATGAAGGATTCCCCAAAGGGGTAGTTTCCAGATTTTTTTTCTTAATGGAGGTCATCACTATTTAAGAAGTTCACTTTAAACTGGCAATTCATAAAACAGGCAGAAATGAAACCTTGCAAAAAGGGAGAAAACAGACCTGAAGGTCCCTTGGGCTCCCACCCCTTGAACGGCCTCCAGCACTTGATTCATCCAAGGATCCCCCAACAAGAAGAGGGGAGCAAAGGAGGGCAAGAGTGGAATTAATACATACACCAAGTCCTGTGTGACTGAGAGAGAATGTTCTCTCTCTGAATTTGGGCTTTCTCCTCTCAGAAGTGCAGTTCATAATGATAACAACAAACCTCCCGCGAAGGTAATTTACTGTAACAAGTGGTAGCCTTAATAAAAAACCAATGGGAATTTATAAAAATTATCACTTTACAAAACTAAGAGAATTTAGCATGCTCTAAAGGTCAGCCTGAGAAAAATTCTACCTGTCCAAAGGTCAGCAATGACAGCTTCAGGAAACCTGGGGACGGCTGAATGGAAAGTTCAGGAAACTATAATTAGAAGGCACCACAGCTATTCACCGGAGGAATTTTCCATATCAATGGCGACCTTGGGTGGGGGGAAGCCAGGGTATGCAACACTCTCCAGTTGGACAGAGAAGAGGGCAGGTCATTTGCAAACAGGCGTACTAATATTAAGAAGCCTTAATATTAATATTGTGAATCTCATCTACGGCAGGAAGGGTTCGAAATGACTTATGACACAAAGATATACTTGCAATAAGCCAAGAAACAGCCAACCATAGGCCGTAGTTTGCCATTTTAAAACTACCATATTAAGGGCTGGGGATTTAGCTCTGTGGTCTGGCACCTGCTTAGCAAGCGCAAGGGCCAGAGTTCAATCCCTGGTACCAAAGAAAAAACATACTAATTCTTCAAGAAACTTGAAATTGTTCCTGATTCTTATTCTCAGAGCAATTCCTTTCATGGTTTTTTAGACAACACACATGGGGCAGAATAATGGATAATATCTTCCCAGAGTCATTTTCATCAGCAAGACAAATTGTGTCACTTATAGAGACCCTTGAGAGGATCCAAACACAAGACACAGGTCATGGCGCTATACAGGCAGTTGGGGTGGGGTCGGGAGGCCGGAGGAGCACAGCCCACATGCCCAGATCGGCAGGAACTGGCCCCTCCGTGCTTCCCTCTAACTTTGGTCAGAGGCCCATCACTGGCCGGTGTGTGAAGAACAGAGTGTAGCAGGTAAGAGAGCAGATTTGCGAGACATCAATAGATACCTAAGAAGTCAAAGCACTTACTTTGAGGGATATATCCACAAGAAAGAGCCTTCTGGGCTAAAGCAAATAAGAAAGAAAAACATAGCATGTTACTTTCGAATTCTGAGAAAGGCGCTTTTGAAACCACTATCACTGAGCAGGGCCAAGAGGAGAGTCAGGGTTCTGGCCACTCGGAGGCCTCTGCCTTCCTTACAGGCAGAACCAGTGGTAAAGGCGAGTGGGAGTTTCTACCTGCAGGCGGGTGAGGCTCTCCAGGGAAAGGAGGTATCTGGAGAACCCTGAATTGTGGGATTTTTCATTACTGTGGACCTCCGAGTTACACAACCAGCCTGCTTGACATAAGAACAACTTGAGTTTACAACTGGGAGTTTAATTTTCAACTGTGACCAGAGTCTTGAGTTACGACCCAGATGCTGGCTGCTTGTGCTTCCAGATGGTCTCGGATACAGCTTTAATCCTTAAAGAGTTCCGGAAGGAACATCATCACAACATCCTTTCCTGTGTGGGGTTAACTGAGAAATTCTGGGCCAATGTCTCTCTAACGACACTGAGACCTGCCTGTACACAGCACAGAGACTGAGGCTGTGGAGAGGAGCCTGAGCCTTCAATTGATCGATCTGAGTTACAACCACCTCTTGGGAATGAACTGAATTTGTAAGTCCAGTGGCCCACTGTATTTTATTTTATTAGTACACATCCTGAGTACATTCATTGTGGTTAGTTGATCCATGCATAGGACAAATTTTATTTCTTTTTATGCCTCCCCCATCTCTTAATCCCTTTCCCATTTGCCATAGATCTCCCTATTTTCCATTGTCTTTGTTTTTTTTGTTGTTGTTGTTTTGTTTTTTGAGACAGGGCCTCACTATGTAGTTGAGATTGACCTAGAACTCACTATGTAGCCCAGGCTGGTCTTGAATTCACAGTGATCCTCCTGCCTCAGCCTCCCAAGTACTGGGATTACAGGCGTGAGCCACCACACCCGGCCTCCCTATTTCCTATTGTCTCTCTGACAAAAACAAACAAACAAACCAAAACCACATAAACTAGAGGAAACAGAGCCTCTTTATCAAAAGGTGCTGGGAAAACACATGCATATCCATATGCAGAAGATTAAAACTAGACCCATATCTGTCACCATGTACTAAACTAAAACCAAACGTTCAAAGGCCTAAGTGTTAAAATGGAAACATGTGATCTGCTGGAAGATAAGGTAGGTGAAACTCTAGGAGTCCTAGGTACAGCCGAGGGCTTTCTGAACAGAACCCCAGTTGCACAAGCAGTAACATCAAGAAAGGACAACGGGACTATTTCAAATTAAAAGGCTTGGCACAGCACGAGAAACAACCAACAGAGTGAAGGGCCAAGCTAAGAATGGGTAAGAAGCTTTTTTCAGCTACCCCTCGGAAAGCGGACTCATATGTAGAAATATACCGAGTTTTTGTTTTTTCGAAGAAGACAATCTGTCCTCCCATCGTCCAGGATGGCTTCACTGAGAGACAGAGGTTTCACAGATGTGGACAGGCAGAGGAGGCGAAACTTCTTCCTCTGCCTGGCCATAGAGAAGGACAGAGGGGAACACCATGGATGGCCTCGCTACCCGGCATCCAGGATTTATCTTCCCCTGGAAACCAGAGCTTCGAACGAAGAGCTTCCTGCCGCGTCCGGCTCAGGGTCTTTTACAGAGCTGTCGCCAAGGGCATCGTTTTAACTAACAGAGGCGCTGAGGCTGTCCCAGAGCACCTGCAAGGCTGGACTGTGACTAGGACTTCTTTCACGGGTCACCTCTATTCGGTCACTCAACAAATGCTTGCTGGTGAAGTAAATCGGACACACGTGTGTATGTGCCACGCGATTTCTTCAGTGGGAGAAACCTAAAGTGTAAATGAAAGCCAGAATGCACAGCTGACAATGCGAAGGAGGAAGAAAATGTTATGGGTAGAGGAACGAGGGAGGAGGGTGGGGGAGAGGAAAAAAATCACAAAAGAAGCAAAAAAAAAAAAAAAAAAAAAAAAGCTTTTGTAAATAAGGAGGGGAAGAGAGGTTGAAGGGAGAGAAGGGGAATAGGGGAAAAATAAGAATCAAGAGCTGGGTGTGGTGGCACATGCCCGTAATCCCAGCAATCGGGAGGCTGAGGCAGGAGGATCGCTGTGAGTTGGAGACCAGCCTGGGCTACATAGTGAGTTCCAGGTCAGTCTCAACTACACAGTGAGACCCTGTCTCAAAAACCAAAAAACAAAAAAGAATCAAGATATATCATGTACAGGTACAAATTCCCTATGATGAATATGACCATTATGTACACCTAAAATGTACCGATAAACTTAAGTAATCAAAACAAAAAACAAACAAACAAACAAACTTGCTGGGCATGTGGCAACATGAGCCGAGTGCCGGGGATGCCCCTTCGGCCGAGACGATACAGTCCTCCCCTTGTGGGGCACGTAACGTAGGAGGGAAGGCGGGCTGGACTGAGACAGCCACACAGCTACATGGCCTCACGCTCCAAGAAGCACCAGAGAGAAAAAGCGCAAGCATATAAGCACTCATCTGGGAGGCCCGGAAGGATTTTCTGGAGGAGAGGCTGACGTTTTAGCTGAGGATGTATCTGAAGGATAAATAGTCAAGCCGGTGAAGAGGATGGGGCAAGAGCGTTCCAGACAGAAACAACACGCAGAAGCCGCGAGGTAGGAGGGGAGAGACAGGGTCTCGTGTGCGTGTGGAAAAGGGCAGTGGAGGACAAGCTGCAGGGATGTGAGGCCGGCCAGGAGATGATCCCAGGCAGGCAGGGACCATGAAACCTTACTGACTCGAGAGACGCTTGGGGGTAAAGGCGACCGGGCTTGGCACCCACTGGCCTGGCCCACTGTTCTGTGCAGAAACGCCCTGCCTGAGCGTAAGACTTACTTAGCCTGCTTGCCTTCCCAGTGAGTGAAAAAATGAATCATATCGTTTCGGTCTCTGCCAAAGCTCTAAAGTTCCCATTCCCTAAATCAGTTTAGTGATTCTGATGACACTCGAAACAGAGAATGTTCAGCCAAGCACTGTTCTAGGCAATTTACATACATAAGTTCATGAAATCCTCTTACCAACAAAGTTCTATTCTTATTCTCATTCTACAAATGTGGAAATTGAGGCACGGGGGCATTAAGTGATTTTTCCGAGTCCAGCTGCTAGTGAGGAAAGAATTTTTCCTCGTTTGAATCTGGCTCCACATCCAGCCAAAAGGGGAGGAGGGGCAGGGATTTAGCGCAGCGGTCACACCGCCTGACTTGCAAGTGCAAGGACCTGCGTTCATTCCCCGGTACCCCCCAAAAAAGTGGGGGTGGGAGGGTGGAAAGGGGGAAAAGGTTGGCTGCACCCAGGACTCAACATCCTGCCTGGCATTCAGGACCTCACTTTGTAGTTTGGCATTCGCTAGTTTGTTGCATCTCTTTAACAATCTCTCCTTCTTACCTCCTATTGTTCCCTCCCAGAGTCTTGGCATCACATCTGTCGCAGAAAAATCCACACTACAGTGGCATTTCAACATGTATTCACCCTTCACAGCACAACTCAAGTGCTACCTGTGCTACCCTCGATATGACCTGGCAAAGAGCAGCTGCCCAAGAAAGAGCCGTGAATGAATGCAAAAAATGAATCTTCCTCCGGGCCACATAATTTTGCCTTTTTTTTTTTTTTTTGGTACCGGGGATCAAACTCAGGTCCTTGAGCTTATGAGGCAGGCGGCAGAACGGCTGAGCTAAATCCCTGGCCCAATCTTGCCTTCCTGAACTCTGATAGCCCTCTTCTCTACCTGATACCCTTCATCTATTCGGCATCACTGGTTATTTATAGCACATCTTATTGCCCCACCCAGCTCATAATGCCCTGAGGGGAAGAATTCTACTCAGCTCTCGGTGTCTCTCTCACAGCTTTCAGCACAGACAAGGACCTCCATAAGGAGTCCGGGACAAAAAAAAGGGGAGACGGGAGATCAAGTTAGAAGGTGGACATAAGTTCACTAATAAGTCACTTCACCTGCTTGGCCTCAGTTCTGTCACTCAGCAACCAACTGGTGACTCAGCTAACGGGAAGGTTTAGTAGTGGGTACAAGAATGAGCTGCAGTCAGATAGCCGGAGCTTAACTCTTCTTAAAAGGGGACCTTGAATCTTAATGTTTAACCTTTTGGAGGCTCAGGGTCCTCGTCTCAGCACTGGGAATGGTCCCACTCTGCAGGGTATTGTGAGAGCTTCAGGTGGTGCTTGGGGCGGCTCCTGGCACGGGCAGACGCTCAGTAACTCGGTTGCTATCGTCACAACCGCCATCCCCGTGACTGCCATTTCACTGTAACTTTTAGTTTCCTGCACGTCTAAATTCTAAGCTTTTTTCCGGCCATCCTTAAATCAAATGCTGCCCTGGATGACATTCTTTCAAGGTGCTTTATTGACATTTGTCGATAATTTACTAATTGGCAGATGTGTTTGATTTACTTATTTTAAAATCTTTCTGAGCTTGGGCCAGGGATTTAGCTCAGTGGCTTCACTGTCCACCTCGTAAACGCAAAGACCTGACTGAGGTCAGGACCTGGTACCAAAAAAAAACAAAAACAAAAAAACAAACCTTGGGCCATCACATAGCTGGTTCATAAAGTGGTAAAGGTCTACTCCTTTTAAAGCCTTTTACAGATAACCAAGCAGACTCTACAAATCAGAGAAGGAGGTGGCCAGAGTCCAGGTGCTGGACAATGGCCCCGAGGAGCAGCCAGAACCTCTCCAGTCACCTGTAGACAGAGCATACCCAGCACCCCCGAATAACCCTCTTTCTCAGAGGCCGGCATGAGTATGCTCACTTGAGCCTTTGGCTCCCGTATTTTATTTTATTTTTTGAGACAGGGTCTCACTATGTAGTCAAGACTGACCTGGAGCTCACTATGTATCCCAGGCTGGTCTCGAACTCACAGCAATCCTCCTGCCTCAGCCTCCCGAGTGCTGGGATTACAGGCGTGCACCACCACGCCCAGCCTGGCTCAGTATTTTAACGTTACGAACCACCCCAGATGTGGAAGTACAACTTTGGCTACAGTTCAGAGCACTTCAGATTCAGAATATGGTGCTTCTTTAAACAAGTATGCCAGCTCCAGGTAGGAACCCCAAAGGGCACTTGTTGTTCTGTTGGACTCATGCCACTGCCAGAGTTCTTTTTATTTGCCAGAGTTCCCTGTTTTGTTTTGCCCCTTGGAGAAAATAACAGTAATGATGACTGCTATGGAGTGAATGTCTGTGTACCTCCCGCCCTCAAGTTCATACGTTCAAGCTGGGTCTCCACGGTGGTGGTCTTTGGAGGTGGGGCTTTGGGGAGATAATCAGATTCAGGTGAGGTTATAAGGACAAGAGCCCCGTGATGAAATGGGCGTCCTTGAGAAAAGAGGAAAAGACCGGTGATTCACTTGTTCTCCATCAGGTGTAGACACGGAGAACGTGGCCGTCTGCAAGCCAGGAAGAGGGCACTTGCTTGGCAGCTGGACCAGCCGGCACTCTGACCTTGGACTCCCGGCCTCTAGCATTGTGAGGAGTAAATCCCTGATGTCAAAGCCACCCAATTTACGGTATCTTGGTATAGTGGCTTGAGCTAAGATGGCAGTGATGGTGATGATGATGGTGACAAGGATGGCATCTTGCATTTAGTGAGTGCCTATGAACCCTGATCTTTTGCTCCAAATGCTTTCTACATAATAACTTATTTTATCCTCTGATAACCCTAGCAGGCAGGTACTATTACTACCCCATTTTTAAAGGTAGAAAAACTGAAGGATAGAATGATGGAATGACTTGTCCCAGGGTCACAGAGGCAGGCGGTACTTGGCAGCAAAGGACCAGCCCAGGCAGGATACTTCCTCAACCTTCAAGGGCCTGAGGAAGCCCCTGGGTCCCAATACCCAAGCCTGAGTCATTTCTTCTTTGAATCAATTGCCTCAATTCAAAAGACCTCACTTTCCAGACCTTGTAACTTGGTCACGCTCTAGTTTGCTATTTTTCTTAAAATGATCTATTCAAAATGAAACAAAAGTGCATTCCAGACGTGGTTAGATTGGCAGGACTAGTTGCTTCTGTATTCTGAAGTTTTCCTCCTGCTACTGGTGCACTTAAAGATGCAGTTCCTTTTTCAGTAGCCAAGACAGTTCTGCCGAATCATCGTATCTTAAGAATGTGAGAACTGAGACCCAGCAGTGACGTATCAATCCAGGCCACCATCTTGAATCTGAGTGCCACCAAGAATACCTCCCTAAGCCCCGCACTGTGGTGCTGCAATCCCAAGCACTCAGGAGGTTAAAGCAGTCGTGATGCAAATGTGAAGTCAGGTTGGGGGATTTAGCAAGACCAGCCTCAAAATAAAATTTTCTAACAAAGGAAGGCTGGGAATGTAGCTCAGCAGTAAAGCACTTGTCTAGCTCTGGGTTTAAACCTCAGTACCACAAAAATTAAAAACAAAACACTTTACTGTGGAAATATTAATGGTGCCAAGACAACTCTGTACAGTTCAGTTTACCGCAGATGCTCTGAACCTGAAGGGTGAGCTTTAATCAGTTTCACTTAAATCAAAGCATCATGCCTTTCTGTAGCTGCTTATGGAGACTTCTTCCAGTCAGAAGCCCCCCTGGCCAAAATCTGCAAGGTGATGTAATTTTAAAAGCTCCAATGTAGGCCAGGCATGGTGGTGCATGCCTGTAATCCCAGCACTCGGGAGGCTGAGGCAGCAGGATCGCTGTGTGTTCGAGACCAGCCTGGGCTACATAGTGAGTTCCAGGGCAGTCTCAACTACATAGTGAGACGCTGTCTCAAAAAAATAAAAAAGCTCAGATGTAGCTTGTATATTTGAATGCACAATGAAATTTGAAAACTCAGAACATTTCATTCATTCTGCTTTCCGGAGGGAAGGAGAGAGAGAGAGAGAGAGAGAGAGGGAGAGGGAGAGGGAGAGAAAGAGAGAGCCCACACTTTGGCCAGGCACAAATGAATCACTGTGTATTTTTGCAGCAAAAGTCAACAACTGGAATGGCTCTGTCAAACGCCACAAATATTTTAGGATTGCAAAATTCTGGGTGGATTTCTTAGGAATGTCTGTCTGAAATTCCTTAAAGATAATTTCCATGTGTGATCACACAAATTACTTAAGATTGTACCTTGGGTTTAATTCAACTTCACTTTCTCTGGATCTAGCCCACCAGTTTACAACAACAACAACAACAACAATAATAATAACAATAATAATGATAATAGGAACATAGTAGATCAATCAGATAATTAACCAGCTGGAATTTACTTGGGAGTCTGGTGACTTTAAAGACAATCCAGAGCACAGAAAGTCAGAAAGGGTGTGATCCCTCATTTACAGATTCAGTGAATCCTAATTTCAATTCGGCCAGGTAATAGGGCTGGTACTAGTAGGAGTCAAACTGCTACATTTATCACTGTCATTTCACTGTGCATCATAATTACCTGTTGATGTATTCCAAAAACACAACAATTGCAGTTGAAGCGACCAGCATTAACAGAATTACTTTTCCTTTGACATTCATTATTTTCTCCTGGTGGGAGGGAGGGGAGAAGGGAAAAAATAGATTAAATAAATGAAATCCAAACAAGATTTGGTTTTTAAGAAATGCTGCCTCTTACTCCTGGCTACTCAGGTTGATAAGCTTAGGTTCATTTGCTGACCATGCTATTAACCACTCTGGGTTAATAAGATGGTCCTGAGAGCATTTTGGAACAAGCCAATCCAAAAACTTGAAAGGGACACAGTCATGACCTAGAGACCGCTATAGAAATGGGAAAGAGGCAGACCTGGGCCTTACCTGCTGCTCACCAAAGCACAGTTCCTTGGCACAGTCAGGAATTTAACAGCTATAAACCACAAAGTACCCTTAACCAGTGTTTGGCAAAGGTAAATATGGTCTCTTAGGGTCGCTTCTAATACTGGAAACAAACGACGCTAATTACTGCTCCGTAGTATTTTGAAGAAGCTGAACAATTTAGACTTTTAAATAAAAGAATGTCCAGTGCTCGCTTTTGGCAGCACATATGCTACATAAAAGAATGTCCAGTCAGAGTTATATTAATGGGGGCGTTGCATTATCTCGTTTAACCAACTCTGACTCCCAAGAGTCCTTAAGATCCTAAACAAACTCTAAATTTTTCCATTTTCTTTTTGCCCTTTGGTATTTTTATAATCTGAAAATTCTCTTCTGCAAGTCGAACACCTAAACAAATAATTTTGGTTTGCTAACCCAGGTAAAATAGGTTAGCAATTCTGAAGACACTTTTTATTCTATCTTTCAAACATTTGCCCAAGTCACAGGGACTAACAGACATTTGGCTTATGATTTCTTAATTACCGAGTACTCTTAATTTTAGACTAATCTGGTATCTAAAGCTACAAACACAAGTACACATGGAGACATTACATATACACATGCGTATCAACACACAGAAAACACTGTTGGCATAATTGTTCTTTTTACTACCTTAAGAATATGTGCATGGCTGAAAGTAGGATTCTTAGTAGTAGCAAGGTTAGAAATCTACATCTCAAAGGAGACTGCTAGCCCAATCCATCTGAGTTTGAATTTCCTGAAGATTTTTCGTTTTCCTGCTCTAACTTTGAAAGGTCTTAGCCGATTTAAAAGCTCCCAGGTTAGAAGACATTTTCCGTTTGTGTTCAAATTTAGATTTAGCTTGTCAGAAGTTTACACATTTTACACTGGCTCTATTTCTCAAAGCCTCTAGGAGGAAAAAATAAACCAGTTTAGGAACAATGCTTCCCACAAAGAAAACACAAAGGCAACCCATCTGTAGTCAAATTCCTCCCCCTTTTTTTTTTTTTTTTAATTAAGGAATGGAGGTGGGAAGAGAAAAAAAATTTCTTTCAGTGAACAAGTTTTGACAAATACTTTGAAATACACTGGTTTAGAATGAACCAAGGACGGTTAGCCGAAATAAGGGGAAATTTAAACCTCAATAAACTGGCCAACATTAGCCAAGTAGCTGCATGGTAAGTGGGTACAGAGAGGCTCTTGCTGGAACTGGCCACTCATCCAGAAAAGGGCCCGGAGAGTAGGTGTGCCTGTCATCTTGGCCAACGTTATTCCCAACAATCTTCTTGAAGACAGTACCACAAAATCAGAGCGTGCTTTCAGTTATACAGGCCCTCCGTGTTTTATCACAATACAATCGCCTTTTTCTAAGTGACAGGTAACTAAGAAACAAAAGCCAATGAAAGCACACCAAAGCAAAACCAATACAAATGAGTACTCCAAACCAACCAAACAAATGCTGGAAATGTTTTCTACCTCTTAATCTCTTCTTACACCAGTCAGTGCCCCCAAGTGACCCACAGTTGGTTCAGATGCCCACAGATGGTGAAGGCACTTGCCTCACCCCAAATGGCAACTGCTGCATAACCTAAAACAAGGTCCAGATGGCAGACAGTCCATCCCTGTGGAACTGGCGCCGTAAATGGAACTTTGAAAGGTTTTTTTTCTTCCTTTAGAGATAAACAATTTCTCCAAATTTCCTCCTGCTGAGCACATAACCAACACCCGCTCTTCTCCTCAGCCTCCTCTCAGACAGAATAGAGGCCACCAGCCTCAGGAGGCTGAAGCCTGGTGTCCTTTTCCCTAAAAAGAGGAGGATGAGCTGGAAGTGATAAAGCAAGTATGGAGATCTGCATTGTCTCTCTGTGCCCCCCCATTCCTTATTGTAAAAGACCCTTACCCACCTGTACGTGGGGAGATGGTGATTTTTAGAAAAATGGGCCCTGTTGAGAGTTTGTCTTAGTTTTCTCGCGGCTGAGTTAAACAGGAGAAACCCAAAGATAAAAGGGGGAAAGATTTATTTGGCTTACAGTTTGTAGAGGCTTCAGGGCATAATTGGCTGGCTCCAGGGCAGGGTGGCAACAGCTCATGGTAGGCAGACAGTAGCAAAGTGACTACAGACCTTAACAGCTTCTTTCTGCCCCCTTTTATTTTATGCAGATAATTACTTAGGGTGGGTAGCGCTCACACCCTTAATCCTAGTGCCCTTGAGCACTATACCAGGAATCAATCATAAACTCTGCACTAAACCACCCAGAAAAAGCTCCACCCACGACTGCAGGAGGCTTTGGGGACACATCTAGACACCAACCATCATAATTCATATCCAGATGACCCCCCAAAGCTTCACGCACTCACAGGTGGCTGGATCGTGGGGGTGTCATGACGAGTGGTCACTGGAGGTGTGGCCTGGAAAGGGATATCTCCCTCTCTCCTCCCTCGTCTCTCTCTGCTTCCTGCCTTCCAGGTCATGCTCTGTTTTTTTCTCATCTGTGCCCCTCTACCATGCCGCCTCGCCTTGGAGCCAGCTGCCTGTATATGAAATCTCCACAAACTGTGAGGCAAAATGAATCTTTCCTCCTTAGAGTTGTGGGTGGTGTTGGTATTGGTGACTCAGCAGTGTGAAAGCTGGTACCTGCATGGCTCCACCTCCTCTGAGCTAGATTTGAATAAATACTTTTTCACCAAAATATATGACTTTCTTTGATTTGGTCAGTGGTAAGCAAAAAAAAAAAAGAAAAAAAACCTAAGCATATGAATGTAAGTGTCCAGCAGCACCTGGCGTACACTTTCCAGAAGGAAACCAGGCAGACCTGTCAGCCTCCAATCTTTTTCCGTTTACCAATAAAAGCATGAAGGTGCACTCCTGTAATCCCAGCACTTGTGAGGCTGAGGCAGGAAGATCTCTCTGAGTTCGAAGCCAGACTGAGTTACACAGTGAATTCAAGGCCAGCCTGAACTATACAGCAAGGCTCTGTCTCAAAAAAAAGACGCCGAGGGGGGCACATATAGGCAATTGATGCCATGAACAGGAAAAGAAGGAGATTCCTGAGTGCAGAAGTGTCCCTTTTCCCAAGTGCATGACAGCATGCGTGCCTCTCAGAAGCTAGGATTTATCTCCCGTCTGGCTCACCAAAACTGGTACCAGCCACTCTGCTCATCGCCAGTCAAAGGAGGCCATATACTTTGGTAAAAAAAGGAAACTGGATTTCTTCAAAGCTGCCTCTGAGGAGACGGAGAGGTCCGTTTACCTCAGATCACTGTCTCCCCATGTACAGGCGGGCGAGGGTCTTTGTGATACGGAACAGTGGGGAGCGCAGCACAGAGAGGCAGTGCAGACCTCCACAGTGGCTTCCGCACTTCTAGCCATCCTCAGCCCATCCTCCTCTCTAGGGGAAAGGAAGCCAGGCTCCTGCATGTTCTGTCACCTCTTCTGAGCCAAGGAAAGGAAGGAGTGTTATGTGCTCAGTGGGCAGAAGTTTGGAAAAGTTGTCTACCTCTAAAAACATTCTAACTTTCAACGCTCCATTTTGCAGAGCCAGTTACATACCCACATCCACTCTAAGAGGTAAATTTATAATTAAATAGAGCCTGGGATTGTGTTTTACCTTACATTCCTTAGGCCAGCAATGGCAATTAAGTGGGCCAATTCAGTGAATGGACAAGGCTGACTGTGCTGGGAAAGATGCCGAGTGGCTCTCAGCAGGAGGGAATCCTGCTACCACAGACGAAGGACAGTGAGAGAGAGGCTATATATAAATGGTCTCCAGAGCCAGGCATGGTGGTGCACGCCTGTAATCCCAGCACTCAGGAGGCTGAGGCAGAGGATCGCTGTGAGTTCCAGACCAGCCTGGGCTACATAGTGTGTTCCAGGTCAGTCTCAACTACATAGTGAGACTATCTCAGAAAACAAAAAACAACAACAATCCAAAAAAAAGGTCTCCAGGAGCTCCATTACACCCTGATTCTGAGCACCCCCAATTTTCCCACGTTACTTCAGGAGCTACTCTGTTCCTGCCCTTGGCACACTGACTACGTGCCACTTACTCAGAGGCAACAATGATCGTTATCAATACAATATAGGCCTCACCAAATTCTGGCCCTGCCCACACTCATAAGGAAGCAACCAACTGGAACGCGCAGGAACGCAGATGTTCTTGAGCGGTTCTGTGAAATTACGACTGAAAGGGAAGGAAAGCTGTACACTGAATGGTGGTCTGGAACGACTTCCACTCAGGTGGGCGGAGAAGTCTGGCTGCAGAAGGGACACCGAAGTAGGGCCCCAAGAAGGAAGACGGGATGCAACAGGAGGCACAGCCTCAGAAGACGGGATGAAGCCGTCTCAGGGGCACCATCTACCACGAGCTGATAGGCCAAAACTCTTCTTGTGTGTCAAACAAAATGAACAAAGGTGTTGAGCAACAAAATAATACTGAAGTTCTCTCGACTCAGAACGGCTGCAAAGAAGAAACGGGGTGGTCGCGGCGGGGTGAGATGGTGAGTCGGGGTAGGCGGAGCTCTGGAGGTGCAGGGGGGATGGGAACCCGCCAGAGCCCCTGTACGTGGAGGCCAAGTGGGCCCAACTCCTTTTAGAGGGGCCGCCCGACATGCCAGGGTAGGCAGGATGGATGCCAGGGCAGCAGCAGAAGCAGGGAGGCAGGTCGCAGACTTCTCTAACAGCCCAACAGAGTGGGCGGCTAGAGTGAATATCTGTA